ATCTCAATTAACTATGGGTTGAAAAAGTTATTGATCAATCACATAGAATTCTTGACAGCTAATATAGCCTGAATGTTTGGGTTAAAATAAAAAGATGAAAAATTAAGAGTCTTATTGCCAGCATATCATGATAATGATGATCCTCCAATTCTTTCCCGATTTACCTTGTGATCTGACATACCCAATGATCAAGTATAAGAAGTCAAATTCTAAATGGCTTCTAAACAGCTGTTAACATAAACTAAAGTATGATTTTAAAAATATTTTTAAAACCTCAGTCCTCATACAAATACACAGCGAAAATGAAGGTTTACATAACTTTTTAATAGGGCAACTAGAAATTTGATAAAGCCAGTTTAAAAGAAAATTTGAGTTAGGCAAAGCCTTCTTTCTTAGAGATAAGCACAAGCAACAAAAATAAAATAGACTGATTTCATCAAATTTAAAAACATTTGTGCTCAAAAGGACACCACCAAGAAAGTGAAATAACAACCCACAGAAAGGCAGAAAATGTTTATAAATCATATCTGATAAGCAACCTATATCTATAATACATAGAAAACTATTACAGCTCAATAATAAAAACTCAATAATAAAATGCCTCAATAATAAAAATAATTAAAAACTGGTCAAATAATCTGAATAGAAATATCTTCAAAGAAGATACAGAAGTGACCACTAAGCATATGAAAAGTTGTTCTACATCATTAGCCATTAGGAAAATGCAAATCAAAAGCTTAATGAAATACCATTTCATACCCACTCATATGGCTGTAATTAAAACAACAGAAAGATCATCAAAAAGACAAGTGTTGGTGAGGATATGAAGAAACTATACCCTCATATGTGGCTAGCAGACATGTAAAATGGTGCAGCTGCTTTGGTAAATAGTCTGGTAGCTCCTCAAAAAGTTAAATACATAGTTAATACATATGACCTGGGAATTCCACTCCTGGGTACATGTACAAGAGAAATGAAAACATATAGTGAAACAAAACCTTACACATGAATGTTCACAGCAGCATTATTCATAGCAGCCAAAAAGTGCAAACAACCCAAAAGTCCATCAATAGATGAAAGGAAAAATAAAAAGTGGCATACCCATATAATGGCATATTACTGGGGAATTAAAAAAGAATGAAGTATGAACACATGCTACAACATGGATGAATCTTGAACATGTTCAGTGAAAGGCGTCAGTCACAAAAGACAAATTATTATTTGACTCCACTGACATGACATGTCCAGAATTGGCAACTCAATGGAGACAAAAAGTTGTCTAGGAGTCGGGGACTGCTAAAGGATAGAACATTTCTTTCTAGGGAGATTAAAATGTTCTAAAATTGATTTTGATGATGGTTGCACAATTCTGTGAGCATAACAAAAATCACTGAATTGTATATTTTAAATAAGTGAATTGTATGGCATGAAAATTGCACCTCTGGGGGCACCTGGGTGGCTCAGTTGGTTAAACATCTGACTTCAGCTCAGGTTATGATCTCACGGTTCAGGAGTTCAAGCCCGCATCGGGCTCTGTGCTGACAGCTAGCTCAGAACCTGGAGCCTGCTTCAGATTCTGTGTCTCCCTTTCTCTCTGTCCCACCCCCCACTCATGCTCTGTCTCTCCCCCCCGCCTCTCTCTCAAATATATAAAAACATTAAAAAAAGAAAATTATAGCTCTGTAAAGCTGTTATTATCTATCTATCTATCTATCTATCTATCTATATAGATACTTATATCAATAGATACAAATTAAATTTGAAAAACTAGTGTTACAATGTTCACGAAAAATAAAAAGGAATGAGATTGGTAAATTAGATACAAGTTTGTCCAATGTCTTACAACGCAATAAAACTGTAACATTTGAAATAAATCTCAGAGAAAAGAAATAATCACTCCTATCATATTTCTGTGTGTTAGGTTCTAAGTTGACAGAGTTGTAAAATATAGTAGTATAGATGTAATTAAGATCAATTTGTATTCCTCTAGGTTAGACAATGTCCTATATTATACAGTAAATGTCACACAATCATCTGTTGTCTTATTCCCAAGTCTTTGATAATTTTTAATAAAGTATTCTCAAGAGCAAACCACAATGATTTGCATCCCAGTGTTGGTAAATAGAAAATGTCAGGGTATTTCCTCCTAGCTAAACACATGGAAATAGATTATCTAAAAGTGAAGGAGGGGTGCCTGCGTGGCTCAGTTGGTTAAGTGTCCGACACTTAGGCTCAGGTGGCGGGTGATTTCACAGTTCCTGGGATCCAGCCCCACACTGAGCTCTGCGCTGGCAGCACAGAGCCTGCCTGAGATTCTCTCTCTCTCTCTGCCCCTCCTCTGTGCTCTTTCTCTCTAAATAAATAAATAAATAAATAAAAAGTGAAGAAATCTCAGAACTATAAAGTCACCAGATATCATCTGAAACAAAGGAAAACTTGACCAAGCAACTCTTAAAATGATTAGGATTTTTTTAAACTACATGTAATGAATAACTATAGCAATTATTAAAGAAAGAGAAAGGCTGAGAACTCTTACCTGATAGTAGAATAAGTTATAAAATACTTGCAAGATAGAAGCAAAGATGCTATAAAAGGTGTTTGGAGTTTATAAACCCAGTGAAGGAAGTGAAGCATTAATGAGACAGATTGACAAAGTGGGATGACAAACCTGTGATTAGTAATGACAGGCTCACAAAGCCAGCCAAATCATAGCTAAATTGCACAGCTAATGAGAAGAAAAGAAAAACCAACAGAACCAGGAAACACACCAAGGTAATCCAATTTAAGAATCATCAGTCTACCAGAGGTCAAACAATTACTCAAGCAGAGTAGAAACCTGACTTGAGAAAGGCATTAAAGACAATTTTCTGGATGCTCAAAAGAGCCAATTATAACACAGCTATCTTAGAGGAACGTGAAAAGCCATTGAGAGCAACTGTCATTGAAATGTCCCTGGGTTTCTGTGTATTTTAAGCATGAAACACAGAAGCAGAAAGATATGTTTTTTAAGAAAAAAAAAAAAAGGAAAGGTGTTAGGATATTGCGTTCTATCACATGTTGACTGAATCACCTGAGAATAGTCATTTAGATGCATTCATCAAAAGTCCTGGATGAAATGTATATCAGATCCCTCTGGAAAAGGATATATATGCCTTGGAAGTGAAAGGCAGAACCTGGCAAATGACTGGCCCAAGGTACACATTTTGCCAGAGGTTCCACCAAAGAATTTTCTTCTGCCACCAGAAGAGATACAAATTCAACTGTCAGCTAAGCAGTACAGACAGGAGGGCAGTGAGTCAGAGACCAAAGGCACCCTGTCCTGACACTAAGGACTATGAGGCAGGCACTTGTTTACTGATGATAGAGATAGGAGTGAAATAACTGGCTGGTGAGTTCAGAGTCTTCTGCTCTGGAGCTCAATGTAGCTATTTAAGGAGCTACAGAAACCGAAACAATTTATCAATGAGCTAAAAATATCCACAAAAGGATCCAGGAAATTTTGAGAGCCAGAGAGAGATACCTAAAAAGGACAAGTAGAATGCAACATTAACAAAATGCTGGGTTCAAGATGTCTTGATTAATCAAAAAAACAACGTTTAAAAAAAAGATGAGGTATAAACAATAGTTTATAGGTCCATAGACTACCTCGAGGAGATTAAGCCAACACTAGAGGCTGGGTATCATATGATTTCTGAAGGCAGAGTCAAGATTCTTTAATACAAATACATGTCAGAAGTAAATGGAAACAACTGTGACATAATGTTTTTGTAAAAATGGATTAATCAAATTGGAAGTTATCTTTTTTGAAAGAAAAATTATCTTTAAAAAAGAACAAAATAAAGAAAATAAAGAAAAACATACAAGGCAAAGAAAGTAGAAATGTATCAATTAAAACAAATTAGATAAATAAGTCAAATAGAACAAAGATCACTGCTTGGCATAGAAACAAAATCCAACTATGTGCTGTCCCTAAGATACAAGTAAGCCAAAATATAAATGGACAGTAGGTCAAGGTTTAATTTAAGCTTTATCATGTCTTTGCAAACACAAAAAAGTGAAAGCTACAATCATGAAAATGATATTAGATGTGAAAGGTATATATAAAAGTATAAAAAATTAATAGCAGTGCATCTTAATGTTTTAACATAATAGCAACACTATATCCTGAAGAAAAGTCATGAAAATCGTCAAATATAATTATATCTGAAAGCCTTAGCAGGACATCACAATGGACTGAACAGGTAAGGAATTAAAACCTTCTCAATAAACCAGATCCCCTGATCAGCATTACTTCTTGATCCAATATCTCTAAATCTCTTCAAAAAAACAGTGTCATAGAATTAGCAGTATCTTAGCAAAAATCGTTCATTTCTGTTTTTCACTTTCAACTTCTCCACTGATTCTACAGTTTTATTTTTTATTTTTTAATTTTTTTAATGTTTTATTTATTTATTTCTGAGATAGAGTGACAGCGTGATCAGGGGAGGATCCGAGAGAGAGAGAGGGAGACACAGAATCTGAAGCAGTCTCCAGGCTCTGAGCTGTCAGCACAGAGCCTGATGTGGGGCTCGAACCCACGAACCGTGATATCATGACTTGAGCCAAAGTCGGATGCTTAACCAACTGAGCCACCCAGGCACTCCTACAAATAATTTTAATGCTCAGTCAACTTCTATAGGCTTCTCTGTGCATTGTTCTGTAACATTTCCCATATGGACCACTCAGTAGACATTTTCTATTGATTATACGAGCTCAATAAAATACTTGTTAAAGAAGCAAATACAGACCAATATGGGACCTATAGCAATAAGCCTGGCAAAACCATCCCACCCACTGAAATGAATTCCAAATGTATAAATAGTAGTTTCTTTTTTTCCCCTCACCCTGGACGGAATACAACCCTTCTTTCCTTAAAATGCAAAAGCAAACTATCATTTAATATTATTTAAAACAATCTATTAAGTACCATGTTAAGTTAAAAAAAAATTATGTTTACCGACCTTGTAAGAATGTAAGGCGAAAACGAAGCTGGATTATCCTGCTCTGAAAAGAGGGGCATAGATCCTCCCATTATCCAGAGACGGAAGTACAAAATGACAATCACCTTCGAAGAAAAGAAGATTTGGTAAGAAAGCCATTGCTCATTGGGCATAAGCCCCACCTTTCTGGAGGACACTTCCAGATGCTTTACAAATATTTTGTTTCAGAGTGGGCATTTCTATAACATTCTAACATTCAAGATGAGTAGGCAAGATGGAAACAGCTGGGTAAAGAGAAGGGTATAAACAGTGAAGGTGTTGAGGGAGAGGCAAGCAAATTCTTAATTACAGCTGTCAGGATCAAGCATTTACCAGCTGCTATCCCCTGAGCTAAAGACTCCCTGCGGCCTCACAGCAACCCTAGAGAGAGAAGAGAAAGCTGAGGCTTCCAGGTAATTTACCCAGAATCCCACAGTTAGTAAACTGCAAGATCCAGGAGTTCAACTCATGTCTTGTCCAACTGCTTTCTTAACCATTTAAATAGCCTCATGAAAGTTAATTTAAAATACAATAAGGAAGACTGCTGGGTTTTGAATAAACACATTTGAAGTGCTCCAACCCTCCAGTGCCTTGAAGGAGAATATTCATGAAGGGTTATTTCAACAAATCCCAGGGCACAGCTTTGGGGTCACCCGCTGGAATTCTATCACTAAATGGTTGCTATCCCATTGCCAAGGTGAATAAGAAAGCCAGAAGGAGAGACATTTCTGTGGGGAGGAGTTTTGTTTATAAGGGAGTTTGCCCAAACAGGCCTTCTAGATGCTTCTTATTTCAATAGGACCAATTACATTGTTTTTATTAAAGTCAGAGGAAAACCTTTGCTTGAATAAAAAAGCTAAAGGATTAATTTTGGAGGTAGTTAAGGCTGGATTTTTCCCCCATGAATACCACTGACTTCTTTTATAAATATCTTTTATATAAATAACGTCAAATCCAAAATCCTAAAAATAAGTGTATGGTGTCAGCCAAAAGCCTATCAACAGTAAACAATGCCTCGGCAGCAATGAAAAATGGTCTCAACACTCACAATGTCCTGCTCAAACAAGTTAAATTCTTACAGACTTTATAATGGAAAATATCAACTATAACTGTAACAGGACAAGTATCCTGAAAGAATATAAATTACCTAAAATACTATGAAGAGGAAAAAAGCTGTGATAATTAAACAAGAGTAGGAAGATAAATAGTAGAAAGGGCTTTGATAATAAATTTTTAAAAGAACAAATGGATTAATAATTTATAATTTTCATCACACCAATGATGTCAAATTACTTGCATTCCCATACAATTCTAAGAAAATAAATCACTTCTGAAACCAGTGATGAATCAACCTAGCTCTGGGCACAGATACTGGGGAACACTTTAGAGAAATGTTTTGCCCCTTTTGTTCAGACTGTCCAGTCAAGGCTCTCCACCCTCATCGAATTTTTCCATACTCTTCTTCTGTGAACATGCTTTAGCGTCAAGAAAAAAAAAATCACATTAACTGGTGACATTACAATTCAAAGACTTTTCATAAGTTTCCTATCAAAATTTATCATAAATGTTGACAGAAATTTATGGGAGACAGCAATAGCATAACAGACTGGTCTCCTAATCTTAAATTCTAAGTCCAAGAATGTAAGAAAATGATTAATGTGACTGTCCCCAGAGATGGCCACTAAAGATTGCTGTCCTCTTAGCACGTGCATTCTCCTCTTCTCATCAAGAATGAAGTCAACTGCCACTCCTCTTAAATCTGAGTTGGTCTTATGACTTGCATTGACAAAGAGAATGTTGTAGAAGGCACACTACATCAGTTCTGGGCCTAACCCTTGAGAGGTCCTGCAACTTTGGGCTCATTCTTTTAGAACCCAGTTGACATACTGTAAAAAAAAAAAAAAAAAAAAAAGTCCTGGCTACACTGCTAGTGAGAGGCCACAGGGAGAGACGCTAGAGAAGGAGATACCACAGATACCAGCTGACAGCTACAGGAACCTGCTTGTGCAACCCTAGTCAAAACTCATGATGAGCATTAGAATCATCCAGCTACATGCTGTCCAAGCTAAAGTATTCAGGGTAAATATATGTGGTTACTGTTTTAAGCCACTAGGTTTGGGGTGGTTTGTTGCGCAACACCAGATAACTGATACGACCAGCTTTGTGCTGCTGAGACAACTCAGGAGCAGCACCTTGAAAAGGACACGTAAATTACTATAGTTCATCCTTTCTGTCTTTGAGTTCCCATATTCCCAAAAGGCTTTCAGACACACCTTCCAAGGCCTCGTAACATTTATGGCATGTAAACTCTCTGATCCTAAGATCATGTTGTTAGAATGTATTGCTGATTCTATTAAATAATCTGGATCATGTCTCTGAGCCAAATTAAAATAAAATACCCCTTATGAGAGATTTTAGAAGCATATCTATACTTACATAACTTATGACCAAAGTGGCCCTTTTTAAGAATGGCCTCATGGTAAGCAGGAAATTTCTATTGCTCCTTGCTGTTAGGTATCTGAAAGAGAAAAGAAAAAAAAATTAAATAAGTGTTAGAGGCCATCACACATAATGTTCTCCATTCAATGTGAATAGGCCGTAGCTTGAGGAAAGGCTAGAAAGCATCATAGCTAAGAGCAAGGCTCCTGGAGCCAGGCCACTTGGATTTCAATCCCCAGGCTGCTTAGTGTCTATAAGGCCTGGAGCAAGTTTCTTAACTTCTTTGCACATCTGTTTTTCTCACTTATAAAAAGGAGGATAATAGTAGTATCTACTCTATAGAAAAGCTGTGGGCAAAAAAGAAAGAATAAATGGAGCAAGATCTAGCACTGTTAGCTATGAATATTACTACCCCATCTACCCAATAACCCAGGCATTCTGGAAACTATATGGTTACATTGGACAAAGGGATGATCTTAAACAAATTAAGAGTTAAGCTACTTAATTTGAGAGGCACTCTGTTTTCAACCTACAAAATATCTCACCCCTAAAAAAAGAAAGGCTGCCAAGGTTGCCCAAGGTTAAGAAATTCACCGAAGGTAACACCGGTAGTCAGCATCAGTGGTGGGATCAGAGCTCACCAATAAACAGTGCACAATTTTCTCACCTGCCTATGGCCTCTGGAACCAAACTAGGTTATAAGAATGTCAGCTCCTAAAGGGACAGGAACTTATAAGGACCCTGTGTCCGCCATAGCTCACTCACTTGTACAGAGTGGGAGCTCCATATTTCCACCTATAAGGCACATGATTGGCTGGCTTGAATAAAGACAATGAAAGAGATGCAAGAGAAAGCTATTAACAAATCCCAAGCAAAATCCTAAAGCAAGGCATGTTCACCTACATGCTAATTTCTGTATTTTAATCTACAAAGTGAAGGAAGCAAGTCAAATCAAATTATGTAATCCAGCAAGCAGTTCCTACCTCATCCTTACTTTCCCCATTTTTCATTTTTTTCTTTTACTCTACTCAATCCAATTTCTCTTCAAAGTATTTCTTCCTAGAATCTCTTAAAATTGGCACTTGAATGAGGTCCTTTTACACAAAGGGAATATTCTATTGGAGAGAGATCCCTTTGTAAAGCCTGAGTGGGTTACTATTACAAAAAAGTGTCCATCTTGACAACTGCTTATAAAACATATATGGTTCCTCCACTTTGTAACAGTTAAATATGTCCAAATGGCACTGTAAGGAAGCACTATAATGTCACTCAGAAGCAGGTCCTCTCTTCTTGCTTCCCTTTTCCTCTTCCTGGTTCATAAACAGCTGTGGGTCTGACCTTTCAAGTTTTTAATGAGTGGAGAAAATGAGGTGAGCCCCCCAAAAAAAACACTAGAGTCAGCTTTTAGCAAAATCTGGACTGGCTCCATCCCCAAGCACTGCACTTAAACCTTGCAAGGAGGAAGGCCAGGGATACTGTCTGCTCTCACAACACAGGTGTATCACTAATGTCCCAAAAATAGGCTTAAGGGAGTCCACTGCCTCCTGAATCTGTACACAAGATTTGTGTATGTTTGCATCTGCGTATTCTCTGAAGCAAAATCCTTGGCTTTGATCTTTAGTGTCAACTGGATGAATGATTCCGAAAAGGTTAAAGCACTGCTAAGTGTCTTGTCTCAGCTCTGCCTCCACTATTAGTATCATTTTCAGGATGACTCAACAAAGATCAACCCTGGATATCTCTCCAATTCCTTTATAGGATGGAAGATAAACAGAAGCAGGGAGGGAATAGCAATGTGGGAAGGAAAAGGTGCTGGGGAGGCCTGCAACTTCAACGCATCTGAAAGAAAAAGTGTTTCTTGGGTTGCTCTGTTTTTGGAAGCTTCATTTCTCAGGTTCTCTCTGTTGCTGGTTTACTTTATTTTAGCACAGTGGAAAAAGTTAGAAATGGCTTCCTCTCTATAAAACAACAAACCACAGGGTTTAGGATTTTTTTTCAGTGTTAAACTTAATTCCTAAATTCTGCATTTTGTTTCACTGAAAGCTCATTATGATGGTTATTTCAGGGAGTAATATTTATAAAGCGTCCCATTGTTTAGAAATTTTTCCTCCATGATAAATTCCATTTCCTCAAGAGATTAAGTTCTTTCAGACATCAAATCATTTGCTCTTAAGATGTAGCATCCCAAAGCTCAGAAGGACATATACAGCAGTGGTTGAAAAATGACCTCTTTCAAGATTTCTATTTCTAGTTTTTGTCCAATAGTAAAAGAGAAAATAAGCCAAAATAATATATGCCCTTTTTTACTAAACACTAGGTCAGAGGCTGAGATTCCTAAGCTCATTACACAGAAGTACTCCACGAGCGGAAATCTCTGTATCCCTTCCTCCTCCCCAATTCACAATAAAACTAGATAGTGGAATTCTCCCCATTAGTCTATGACATATGTATGGTCTGTAAAGTAGAATCAAACAGCAACAGCAAATAATTACAATATTATTATTAACAAATGTCATAAAAATTCCATATAATATATGCCAGACACAAATCTAAGTGATTCAATTGTTATTTACTGCTTATAACATATTTCACAAGGAAAAATATTATAATTGGTTTTTTTACAGAGGAAGAGACCAGAAACCAAAAAGTAATGCTTAGCTATTCTATTGGATTCTCTCAGCTATTCATTTCAATCACAAGCTAAAGTGTCTGTAAGCGCCTTATAAACAAAAGGCACTATGCAAATGCCACCACTGATAATGTTCAATTTCAGTCAGTCTCCACTCTTTTCCCTGTGACCCAGAGAACATTCCAACAACAAAGCCAAACCACTGAGGAACCCTCTAGAATGGGAACCAATGGTTCTACTCCTCTGCTTCCAATTCATTGGTTATATGACTTCTAACAAGTCCACAAGGAGCTTTGTTTTCTTCTTTTATCAGTAAGAGTTGGACTTAAAATGGTTTTGGTCTAAAACACTGTGTTCTTTGGATGATCTTGCCAGCTGATGACATCATAAATGACAACTAAAGAAAAAGAGAGAGAACCCTACTGAAATTTTTAAAAAGAAATGCCAAGGGATTAGGATGCAGCAACTGTTAGTTGATGGATCCTCACACTTGAGTAGACCCTTCATAATCTGCAGTTGCACATGAAAAAATATTTTAACATCAGTTTGAGGTGTTGGCATTATCAAACCCTCCATTTTTTTTTAAATGTTTTATTTATTTCTAGGAGAGAGAGAGAGAGACAGCGCGAGCAGGGGAGGGTCAGAGAGAGAGGGAGTCACAGACTGAAACAGGCTCCAGGCTCTGAGCTGGCAGTCAGCACAGAGCCCGACGCGGGGCTCGAACCCACAAACCGCAAGATCATGACCTAAGCAAAAGTCGGACTCTTAACTGACTAAGCCACCCAGGCGCCCCTGAAACTCTCCATTTTTAACAATTTCTGATTTTAGGCAAATAAAAGCAAAAGACCAAGATTATCCAAAGTAAATTCCCTAACCTTTGGTCCCCTACACCCCGTATTTTCTATTTTTCAGACATCAAATTTTCTACTAACATCTACCTTCTCAGTTGATTGCGTTCAAATATTCAGAGCGAAATGGGACTTCCTGAAGTTCACCTCCACAGCTTCTCAGTCATCACCCAGTGAGGTCCCAGCTGAGATCAGGACAACCAGCCACCCTAGACCACCCACCATAATCCTGAGTGTTAAATAAGTGCTCATTATTTTAAGCCACTGTGTGTGTGTTCCTTATCCTCCAGTGCTAGACCAGGGTGGAAAATGAATGCTCAGTTTGGGATACAGACAGCAAGCTGGAGGAGGAAAATCACGTGGACGGCACTATTTCCCTTAGCCTTAAATACTGTTGGTCTAAATAAAATGTTATATTATACTTTCCAGCCCTTCTAGGGATCTATAAAAATCTGTTATTTTTGCCTTAATACCAGCTCCTGTGGCAGACATCTCAGATACAAAGAGTTGTAACTTTTTTTTTAACATTATACCGATAAATTATAAAAAGCTTGAAGGAGAGCAGAATACATGACCCTAAAATATGCCACTTTGGCATGTGGATTATTTTAAACTGAAGGCAATCAAGACCCAGCAGACTCCAGAAGAACTTTAATCTCTCCCTTACCTACTATCTAAAAGAATTTAGAGAGGAAGCCTTTCTCAGAAAGAAAGCTATACTAGAGGTAACTTTTATCTGAATGACCTATCTGTACCACAGAGCAAATATGTAGAGCAAATATGTAATTACCAAACATCAACTCTTCCTATTGTCTTGTGAATTACCCTCCTCCCCTTCAAAGCTCCAGGCCCCTATCCCATTCTTTAGCTCAGGAAGGCAAGTAGGCCTGGACTGCCTGACTTGACTTTGGGTATCAAATTTGTTTTCTCCTGTTAATCTATTTTATGTCAATTTAATTATTAGATCAGCCAAAGAAGCTAGAAGGGTAGAAGAAAAAATTCCCCCCCATGAGCTATATATAAAATTCCTTCTAGAACACCAGTCATACTAATTTAATTTCTATTGTTCTTTCAAGGTAATAAAGGAGATTAATAAAGAGTCATATGCCATGAATAATTGTTTTTCTTTAAATTCAGAGCTTTTTAAAACAGGAATTCAGGAATCTGCTTCCATTTGGAACACAAGGAAAAAGGTTTGTTTGTTTGTTTTTCAATTGACCAAAGTAACAAAAACAGACCTCACATTTGAAAAGATTATAAGATTAACAAAAACAACAAAAAGAAACTTATATGTCTTTAAGTTCTTCTTTAATGCACTCTCCTTGAACCCATAAAGTGCCTCATCTAAATCTTAAATAATGAAAGGCATTGTGAAGAGGGTGAAATAATGAAACAACCTTTGATGTCTCCTTTGATATTCAAACGCAGTCTTATGTAAAAGAGGGAACAATTCTAAGAAGGTAAGATGCATTTCTCAGTTCCATCTACTCAAAAACCCCAATTGACCTTTAATACCCCATTTTGTAGCTATAGTAAAGTTTCTTCCAGAAATTTTACTTTCTAGGCTCAGTGTGTCATATACAAAGTAATATGTGATAATAA